TCTCCCTCTGCCTGCCACTCTGCCTACTCTTACCCTCCCTCTCTCTCTCTGTCAAATAAATAAATAAATAAATCTTTAACTCACACACACACACACACACTTAGAAAGTCCTCAAGTGAAATAATTATTTTCACCCTACTAATATTAGACAAGAAATCAGTATTTATCCTTGGGGGAAAAAATTCTTGCCTTAATACAATGAACTTGAATTCTGACTACATTTTGTGTAAGAAGGATATTAGGTGATTTGATATCTGTGATCTTTTTTATACTCAACAAATCTGTTTTACTAGTGGTAAATTTAGGTCTAGAAAGTCTTTAAATAACAAGCCCAGGGCCATGCAATGAGTTAACGGCTGATGTGGGACAAATATTGAAGGTTGGTCATTCTTAATTCCACCTTATGATTCTAAATCTTAAACTTATGACGGCCTCATGATATTTTAAACCATCCATGGTCTGAGTCCTAGATCTAAGTATCAAATACATAACTATCACATGGAGCACCATGCTTAAAAAAGCAACAAATAATATGTAAGACACATTTAGGAAAAAGGGCAGAGGAGACTACCCTCAAAAACTATATTCATGGACTATTTGATAACATCAGGCTAGAAGAGCAAAGGGTGGTAGTAAATAAACGTCATGCTCTAAAACTGAATTTTGCAGATAGTTTTCAGCATGATTTTTCTATGTTTCACTTTTCACTGTCAGCTGTGAGCGTTTCCAAGTGTGAGATCGCCCAAGAGAGGAAGCAAAGCTGTCATTTGACATCTGGGAGCGTGGAGATTGGGCTGCAGTAAAAAGCAGTTTGGACTTCAATTTACACACATATTCACCTATAAATTCTCAAGTCTGAAAAGTATTCAACGAGAAATACCAATGTAAATTTCAAGCATTTATAAAGGCTCATAATGGAGTGGAAAATAAAGGTGAAGGACACACAGTGATAGGATACCATATCAACTTGTGAAGACCAGAATAAGCAACTGAAGTGATTATATTAGCATAATAACGAACATATAAACAATTTTACTCACTTGCCTTAGATTGCATTTTAAACTTTCAAATATAGTCTTTTGTATTTTATATGCTTACTATTATAGGTTCTGTTTTCTAGCTGCCTTTTTTATGATGAAGAGTCAAGACTGTTAAGAAAAAAAAAACTTTGACACTTTGTTCTTCCTTTATACTTAAAATGCTGTAACAAAAATTTAGTCTAGGGGCGCCTGGGTGGCTCAGTTGGTTAAGCAGCTGCCTTCGGCTCAGGTCATGATCCTGGAGTCCCAGGATCGAGTCCCGCATCGGGCTCCCTGCTCAGCAGGGAGTCTGCTTCTCCCTCTGACCCTCCCCCCTCTTGTGCTCTGTCTCTAAAATAAATAAAATCTTTAAAAAAAAAAAAATTTAGTCTATGTTAGGATAGATTAACAGTTATGATGATATAGCACATAAAATCCTCTGTGTGTGTGTGTATGTGTACACAAATATAGAAATAAAATCAGAGTAACTACAAGGAAGTCCTCTAGAGAAGAATAATCAATTTACTCCAGTTTTTATTCTATAACCTCTCACAACGAAAAATAGGACAACCCGTCTAAAAGTCTCTTAATAGAAAGTATCTAAAGTTTCCTAATATGGAAACTAGACAGTGTTATGTTTATACTGTCACTTGCTATACAATCTATTCCCACTTTGGGATCTATTTCTTTGCTCTTTCTCTTCCTGAACTCTGTCCTGTGTTTCTCTGGTATGAAAGGAGCCCATTTACCATGAATGATGTTTATTTAAAATAAAACCTTTCTAGAGAATCATCCTAGATAATCTAAGGATACAAAGTAAACCTAAAAGGAATGGCTTCTACTTTGAAAACAGGGCTGGGTTTGATCAGGGAATTCGTATTCTCAAGACCCTCTTGATCGGCCTGCAGCTGCAGCCATTTATTTGCTGGCTTTTTCACAGATGTAGACAGAGAAAGCTCCATGGGTTTTGTCTTTTTGTTACTGGACTTGTTTTCTTTAATATAAAAAAGTGGCAACTTTTTAAGAAAGTTCTTCGCGTTGTTGTAGAAACTTGTGAACATCAGATATCCTTGGTAGTATACATTGTTGAAATGACTCTGACTTTTTAAAATCTGAGATCTCAAAGTTGGCAGAAACTATACTTCAATAACAGAAGGTGATCATTTGCATTTCAAAATTTATCTATCTTGCTTTTCCCCTCAATTAGACCAAAACATGTTGATTCACAGGTTTCTGTGTGTGTGTTGTTTCTTTTTTAAACTTATTTATAGAGCAGAATAATGGCCCCCCTGCTACTTTGGCATGTGCTCAAGTTTCTGTCCATGTAAATCGAATCTGTTACTGGAAATTTTTCTCAAAATATAAAGGCACATCACCCACAAGATGAAAAGATACACTGCTGATATTACAAAGTACAGGGCAGGTGGATTATGTTTTTAGGACAAATATGTGATAAGGATTCCCAGGAGGGAGGAGGGGTCGGGGTAGAGGTTGCATGCTGTTTAAACAGAAGTGGACCGTTCTCATCATAATCTTATGACAACTTTACTTTCTAACCAAACATCAGCTGCTTAACATGCTTTAGAGCTACTTGGACAATAATACTAAGGTTAGAGTTGGAAAACGGAAAGGCAGAGGGGATGTGGGAGAGAATGACGGCAACCCTGTAGTGTTTCTAAGGGCAGACCAAAAGAGAGTAAGTACTCTCTGTCCCCATGTCTGACTTTTAATCATTGAAATATTAGCATATTAGCATTGCTCCCACCATTTGAGAAGAGGAAAGCCTACTTACAGTTTTTATCAGTAGCACTGCTATTCACTTTTGAAAAAAACAGTAATTTACAATTTTTTGTCCCAATTCCCCTTGCATTATAAACGAGGGGCAGGAGAACACGGACTTAACTGAGTTCTGTAACTCTCTGGGTTTATGATCATCTACATTACACCACTAGCTTTACTTTGCAGTGAAGGCCATTCCTGGTTTTGTTTTTCCCCCATTGATAAAACATATTAATAGGCCCAAAGAATAGAAGAGACTTTCCACATTGTTCAATGCATGCCATAATGCTAGAACACTTTTGCAACTCACAAAGCTTGAAAGTACAATTCTGTCATGCAAATAATTAAAACAAAGCCCTTCTTCAGATGACAGCTTTTTTCAAATGTTAGAAGGGCAACCTGGAAGATGACAGCAAAAATCCATTAATGGTAGACTGCCACCTGCTGGTAAACTATGAGAACTGTGATTTCCAGGGAAAGGCTTAAAAAGGAAAATGTGGAAACTGATCTGGATTAAACTCAGTATTTCAGTACACAAAATTAAAAGTATATATTTGTTGATGAATGTAGTATAGCTTCCACATATATTTAAAATTCTCAGGATGTCAATCTGCTAGACTGCCAAAGTATGACGCTATAGTTTTCGATAAGAGAATGAAAATAAAAATAGGAAATAAGGAGTCAGTTACCAACATTAAACAATGTCTCATAAATATTTGGTTTTGATGTGAGGTTTACACTGCACTTCACTTCTGGATTTAAGAGGTTTCATTTCAAAGAACTCCCAGATTTAATTTTGATCCTAAAACCTCCAAATTCATTACAATTAATGTATGTTCTTATGTACATTGGTACCTCAAATGTTATTTATAAAATTAGAAAAGGGGGAGAGTATAAAAAAGAAGAACCAGATAACCATAATAAAGTGATTGCATTATGAAATTATTTTTGTTATCCCATTAACTAAATCATACTAATAAGGCTTCAAAAACAGCATTTCTTCTTGAAAGAAACAAAAAATGTAGGCATGCTCTATTGCCCCTAGGAAGAAACAAAATCAAACACCCCTAATTTGAGGGAAGGAAGTGGAAAGGAAAAGGTGTAACAGTAAGAAAAAAAAATCCACATCATTGTCTTCAGGAAACAGTTTTAGGACATTTGCTTCACAGGTTGAAAAACTTCGCTATTTCCCAATACAGAAATAATTCTTAACAATGAAGGTTGTAACTAAAAACAATATCGCTCTTTCAATCTTAATTATAATCATTTCCCATTATGCAGGGAAGCAATGTTAGCATCAATAATACACTGGTTAGCTAGGAGCATTAAATACTGTATTAATCAACAACTAAGCAGATCATGTTAACATAATCAGCTTGAACCTCCTTTGAAAGCCAGTGGGGTGACAAGTGAAGCAACTTTGACCATCCAAAGAGGCTGAAAGCTAGGCAAAAGGTGAACGAACTTTGGATTCAAATATAGCCCCATCTGCACTGACAGAGACACACTAACTCAAATCCAATTCAGATGCTTAAATGACCTGTAATTATCAGCAAAGGATCTAACACACCCCAGAAGTAAATCTCTAATTTTTAAAAAACAAAGACAATACAGTAAGAGCAAGAGAAACCTGTTGTGTCAAATATTTGGCTAAACTGGCTACTTTAAGCCAAGATGAACATGCTTCCTAAAATGTCTCAGATATAGAAAGAACTCTGAAATCTGCTCTCCAATGCCAGCTTGGCTCATCACTGAAGTCACAATATAGCATTTTTTTTTTAATTCCTCATTTTATCCATTTTTATCCTTAGGAATTTTACCCCTTTTGTCAGCTCCCTCTCCTATCTTAATAAAACCATCCATTTAAAGAGGTTCGGGGTATTTAAAGGTCCTTCTAAACACTAAGAAGTTACGACATTTCTAAGACAGAATTCACTGTCAGTTCTAAAAGAAGTCCAAACCTGTTTAACAACAAACACACACACACACACACACACACACACACACACACACCCCTACCTCTATTGGGTAGATAAACCAATATACAATGATTTAATCCCCAAATTTTCTTTTTTGAAGGATTAAAGAGATACTCAAAGCCAACATATATGTGAACTGTGAGTGAAAAATACAACTTCTGTAAAGAAAAGAGAGCTGCTGAACTACTTTTTCAAGTGAACCATTTTAGGAGATTGCTCTAACCTGGGGCACAGTACATTCTCTCTATGGCATCGCTGTCACAGGAATCTTCAACCTCACTCCACCTGCTAAAATACGTTAGCTGAATGTGTCCTAAAAACAAAACGACAGGAGAAATCAAAACATTTTTCTCTTCCATTTTCTGCAGAAGTGAACTGTAATTACTCCTTTTGTAGCTAAAAACAGTATCATTAAGAATAATGGCATCATTAAGTACTAGAAGCTATTACTGGGGGTGAATTTGCCGCACTGATAATGAAGCTCTAGACAGGAAATGAAGATACTAATTACAAGATAAAACGCCTACTCAGTTAATTGGAAGCAACAGCGAATAAAAAGAAATGCATTTGCAAAAGTTCCTGACCTCTATCATTCAATAAGATGTTGTTTGGGTTCAAATCGCGGCACACAATTCCCTCTCTATGTAAAGCATCAAGGGCTACCACCATTTCAGCTGCCCATCTTTGAATGCAGCCCTCGGGGATGTAAAACCTGGAGTTTAGTGCTAATTTTTTATCAAGGTCCTCAAAAATCTGATGTATTTCCTTGTCTCCTTCTAGTGCTAATCCACTCTCTCCCTTAGTCTCTGGGTGTCTCTGAAATAAAGTCAGTTCCTCTTTAGGCAAATCCTCAGTTTGATCTGTAAACAGCAATACTTCTTCAGTTTTTAAAGTTTCTGTGTTTACATTATATTCATTAGCACCTGAGAGTGGGTCAGAAATATGGAATAAGCTTTCTTCTGTGCTGTTTGCAGTTACTGCCAACTCCCCCACTCCAAGTCCTTGGAACTTAGAATCTGAGCTGTGTAACAAAGACACGTCTCCTGAACTACTATGATCAGCAGCTGCTACAAATAACATCCCAAGATCCCCCTGTGCGTTGTGTTTCTCTGCTATACTCTGGGATTTAGGTCTAGAGGGATCACTCAATTCCTCTGTGCCTTGTTCTTCACTTGATTGGCATTGTTCAGTACTAAGCCGAAGGCATAAAACATCGGGGGCTTCCAACAGTTTACTTTCAATTATGCCTATATTAGTCTGTGTAAACTTAGTAGGTCCCACTGCGGCACCATCTTTGGTTGGCTCCAGTTCACCAGGTAGATTTACAAGAAGATCAGGCCTTCCTTCATCAGTGCCAATGACATCATTGAAAGCAGCATCTTTAAAAGAAATGACTGGGACAGAGTCATCTGAGCCCCTGCTAATGGTGGTGTCCTGAGCTATAAACTCTACCTTGCTTTCACTAGCATTGAAACTCCTGGAAGTGCCGTCTCCATCTGGAAGAGCGAAAAATGGTTTCAAAGGCTCTGACTTTAGACTATACAATTTTTCTCCAAAATCAAGGCCTAGCAGTTCACTAGTGCTATCCTTACTGTCTATCCTAAAGAATTCCATGGGGCTGTTTTTCGATCTACTAAGGGAATCTGACGTTCTTGGCGAACTAACTGCTTCTACATCATCGTCTCCAGCGAAGAACTGCAGCTCGTGAGCTATGTGCTGCTGGGTGCTGGGGCTGTGCCTGTCGGCGGCAAGGTGCGCTGGGAAGCTTCCAATGACTCTGGTATCAACACCACTCCCTCCAATCTTCAGGAAAGGCTCCTCATTCAATGACCCTGGTTCAATCTTTTCTTGCCCATATTCATTGCATAATGTCAAATAACTAGTAGTACATTCTTCTTCTGAACTTGAGCCAGAATCTGGCCATTTGGGAGAGCTATCTTGGCCTTCTTCGTCTTGGTTACTATCATCTTGAGAGGTTGGAGTAAGACTAGTCTTCAAAGGCAGGACTTTAAGCATGGCTCCACCATCACTTCCTCTGGATTCAAAGCTGCTGCTGTCCTGAGGACTAGAAGTTGGCTGTTGCAGGTGAACTTTAGTAAGTGTGGATTTTTTCACTTCCCTGATGTCAAAGCTTTCTTCAGGGCTTCTGTTTAGAAACTTACTGATATATGACCAGAGTTTGCCACCTGTGAACAAGTATAACCAAAAAAATGTTTAAGATCCCCAAAATAATGGTTACTTATTGAAGCCCTTAGAAAAACAAAGAGTATTCTAATAATCAACCAAAAGCAAGTCAATGATACCCATTAATATCAAGTATGCTATAAAACAAGCATTTTAATTACATGTTTTCTTGTTATTGCTGACTACTGAGTATAGTTTTAAACATATCTCCTGATACCAATTATCTTTTAAATGACAACCTACTTCTCCCTTTGAAATTAGTTTAACAAATACTAATATGAAATCCCACAGCTGGAACATTGCTTTAAATATGATTTAGCGGGCGCCTGGGTGGCTCAGTTGGTTAAGCAACTGCCTTCACCTCAGGTCATGATCCTGGAGTCCCGGGATCGAGTCCCGCATCGGGCTCCCTGCTCAGCGAGGAGCCTGCTTCTCCCTCTGACCCTCCCCCCCTCATGTATTCTCTCTCATTCTCGCTCTCTCAAATAAATAAATAAATCTTTAAAAAAAATAAAATAAGGGGCGCCTGGGTGGCTCAGTCGTTAAGCGTCTGCCTTCGGCTCAGGTCATGATCCCAGGGTCCTGGGATCGAGACCCACATCGGGCTCCCTGCTCAGCGGGAAGCCTGCTTCTCCCTCTCCCACTCCCCCTGCTTGTGTTCCTGCTCTCGCTCTCTCTCTGTCAAATAAATAAATAAAATCTTTAAAAAATAATAAAAAAATAAAAAAATAAAAATAAAATAAATAAAATAAAATAAATAAATATGATTTAGCTGTTGAAACATCTGATTATGTTCTGAGCTGTTCATGTAATAATTTTTTGAAGCATGGTCCCTTGGCCAAGTGGAAATACATAAATAAGTGCTGCTTAAAACTGTATATACTATAGGGAGCAAAAACTAACAATATTATTCCATTTTGGAAATGCCCAGTCCGGGGCGCCTGGGTGGTTCATCGTTAAGCGTCTGCCTTCAGCTCAGGTCATGATCCCAGGGTCCTGGGATCGAGCCCCGCATTGGGCTCCCTGCTCCGCGGGAAGCCTGCTTCTCCCTCTCCCACTCCCGCTGCTTGTGTTCCCTCTCTCACTGTGTCTCTCTGTCAAATAAATAAAATCTTAAAAAAAAAGAAAGAAAGAAAGAAAATGCCCAGTCCAAGACTAGAGGGGAGATATGGCATCTGGTATATAATTATGCCATTGTAAATGACATACTAATAACATTTTTCCCATTCCCCCCATATACATCATATATGGTATAATAAGACCTAGTAAAGCAATTGAGGAAAATTAATTGGGCAGCCATTAATGAGGCTGGCTATTGTAATTCCAGTTTTGTATTCTGATATATACGAGAAACCTACAGAAAAGTAAAATCATAATAATCAATTTCAAAGAAATCAAAGGAATCTGATGTTTTACCAGCAATACTTGTTAGTTATTTCACCTTGTTTTTCTTTTGTGTTATTTTAACCATTAAGAACTCAACCTGTTTTGCTCACTAGAATCTTTCAACAAATACCTGTTTAAGTATCAAAAACCTACCAAAGCTTTACTGTATTACAAGAAGTTAAATCTGATCTAAAAATCTTACAAACAATAATTGCAGATGCATCCTCTGTGAATATATAACTGTAGCTTCCAAAAATGGGAAATAATGTGTTAAAAATGAATCCCTCTATTAACATGGAGAAGGCAATTTTTTTTCCAGCACATTTTTAATGTCTTTATTAAGCATCCTATACCAAGGGTAACAATCTTAAGAGAAATCATCTCCAACAGTCAATTATATGTATAAAAAGGTCAGTGGAAGCACCCAAAAAAATCTTTTTGTACTTGGCATTTCACTTCATTTAGAGGAACTCAGTAAATACATAAAGCCCCCCGCCCCGAGTACTGTGCCCACTACAAAGTAAATGTATAATAAAGGGTAGCTGTCATAATATTAATCCTAAGATACTCAGACATCGCCTCTCCCTGTGACCCAGTTAACAGTTTTCTCCCATTTTGATAATAATTAGTAGTACTGGACATTATGGTGTTTAACTTTTCCCCTCTCATTTTTCTTAGCTAACTTTCTGTCCTCGTTAGATTATACTTAGCATTTCATATTCCCCCACATTCAAATAGAATTTAAGGTTCATATATAGCTTTGAAACTCACAAAAGAAGCTACGCGTTGATTCCATCTTTTGTTCGTCATTTGACAGCAATAGCCACACTCCTCTGATCACAAATACGTCTGTTGTGGCACACTAACAATAAAGCCTGAACCTGGAGCTGGGTTCTTGTACACAATCCACCTGAAACAACGTGTGTCGTGTCCATTCTCCTAGGTGGGGACTACTGTGAAGACAGGACCGTCACTTCCATCTTTCTATCTACTGCCTAAACAGTGTGCAGGACACAACAGACACTCAGTCAGTGCTGCTTTAACTCAGTGATAACTCATCAAAATGAGATGTGCCAACACAAAGTAGACAGTCTTTGCAGTTGCAAAGTTCTAGTAACAGCAAGAAACGGTACCCAGTAAAGTTCTAAGAAAAGTTTCATTCGTTCTTAGGCCAATTTCACCTGGATGAAGTGCTGAAATAGAAAATTCAATGTGCTTCGATTCTTTCTCCACCCACCCCGCCCCCCCAGATCACTTCCTCTTTCTGACCTCCAAGCCACTCTGGCAAAAAAGCTTTGGACCAAGCTTAGATTATTTTTTCTCCCTTGTTCTTTTGGGCAAGTTTCCAAGTCCTGTAAGATATGTCCATAATGCTTCATGGAGTCTTCCTCTTCTACTGATTCCTTTGGCCAGTCTGCTTCTTGGAATAACTTCACAGCTCCAACTAGATCCCTGCTTTAACTGCTTTCTGTATCATTCTATCACACTAATTGCTGCCCAATTAATCTTCCATTTTAGCACAGATCTTACATTATTTCTCCATTCAAGAACCCAAATCCCCTCCATCTACTTAATGATGTATGTACCAACTCCACAGAGGCTTGAACCCCTCAGTAAATATAATGTGTCAAGCTATGATTTGGTCCTCCCCTTCAACTCACCAAATAATCCATCTGAATTGGATTTCTCCAAATATAACCCATCCTGGGCTTTTGCTCAAACTATACCTACCACTTCAAGAATTTTTTTTTTTCTTACTAGTTTCTCCAATATCTACTTGTCAAAATCCTAACCATTCTTGACAGTCCCTCAGAATTTGTTTTCTTTTACCAATTTTTTGGCATCCCCTCAGTGGATTCAGATTCTCTGAATCTTTTATATCACTTAGTCTCTCTTACAACATTTAAGACATTCTGTTTCATATTAATATTACTTTTATACGCCCATACTTTTACCATCTCCTTTACCAGACTGCAGGGTCTTCATAACTACAAGGAAAGGATTCTGCCTAGCATGTAAAATAGTATGTATTAAATAAATATTTATTAAATCAGGTTATAAAAAGACATCTTTCCAAGTATTTTGAAAATCTTTTAAGAATAAGGGTCAGGGAGTCTGCTTCTCCCTCTGATCCTCCATCTCATGCTCTCTCTCTCTGTGTCATTCTCTCTCTCAAAATAAATAAATAAAATCTTTAAAAAAAAAAAAAAGAATATGGGTCTATAAATATTAATAGTATCATTATTTTGGGTCATGCTTTCTTCCTGCTTTAAAACAAATACATGGTTTCATATGGTTTCAAAAAAGTTAAATACAGAAAAGAACAGAAGAGAAAAATTCAAATACAAATCACCTATAAACAGTATTAACTACAGGCGCCTGGGTGGCTCAGTTGGTTAAGTGTTCGACTCTTGATTTTGGCTCAGGTCATGATCTCACGGATCATGGGATCCAGCCCCACATTGGGCTCCGTGCTCAGCGGGAAGTCTGCTTAGGATTCTCTCCCCTCTGCCCTACCCAACATTCGTGCATGTGCACTCACACGCTCTCTCCCCCTCTCTCTCAAATAAATGGATAAATCTTTTTTTAAAGCACTATTAACTATTTGTACATTTATTTTCAGACGTTTTATCTGTGACTAACATCACATCATAAACATTTTCTAATTTTCAGGAGACTATGAACTTCGATGGCTATATAGCATATCCATGTGATGGATATTATGAGGTATTTAAGTGTTCATCTATTGTTGGATATTTACATTGTTTCCAATCTTTTACTATTAAAATAATATGTACTTTTTACATGGAAGTACTTGACATCCCTGATAATTTCATCAGGACAGAATCCCAGAAATGAAAAGACTGGATCAAAAAGCATGAATATGTTTAATGCTTCTGATACATGTTGTGAAACTGCTTTACAGAAAGGCTGTACCAGAATCCACTCCTATAAGCAATGTGTATTAATGCCACCTTCATAGCAACTTGCCTTTATTGGATGTTAGCAAGCTGACCAATTTGATTAGTCAAATATGGCATCTCCCTTAATTTCCATTCTTCTCATTATTACATAGAATTTTTAAATGTGATGATTGGCACTTTCTTTATGACATTTGTTCCTAACCTAAACAAGTACCCTAAAGTGAGTTGTAAAAAAACTGCATTTTTCTGGGCGCCTGGGTGGCTCAGTCGTTAAGCGTCTGCCTTCGGCTCAGGTCGTGATCCCAGGGTCCTGGGATCGAGCCCCACATCGGGCTCCCTGCTCATCAGAAAGCCTGCTTCTGGGCGCCTGGGTGGCTCAGTCGGTTAAGTGACTGCCTTCGGCTCAGGTCATGATCCTGGAGTCCCTGGATTGAGTCCCGCATCGGGCTCCCTGCTCAGCAGGGAGTCTGCTTCTCCCTCTGACCCTCCCCCCTCTCATGTGCTCTCTCTCTCTCATTCTCTCTCTGTCAAATAATAAATAAAATCTTTGAAAAAAATAAATAAATAAAACCTGCTTCTCCCTCTCCCACTCCCCTTGCTAGTGTTCCCTCTCTCGCTGTGTCTCTCTCTGTCAAATAAATAAATAAAATCTTAAAAAAAAAAAAACAACTGCATTTTTCAAGAGAGAATGA